GGGGCTGCGGCGCGCGGGCGCGGCTCTGGGGCGCGCGCCTTGGCTCTGGGCTCTGGCGCTGCTCGGGCAGGCGGCAGCCGCGGGCGCGCCCTCCAGGCGCCAGTGGCCCGTGCCCTACAGGTGAGCGCGCGGGGCGGCGGAGTGGGGACCCGCACCGGCGCGCGGGCAAACCCCGGCGCGGTGTGGAAGGCAGTTGGGAGCGCAGGAGTGGCCCCTGCCTGTTGCGTGCCGCCCTGGGGCCTCTCTCTTAGGGACACTTGCGTCAGTGAGGAGGGGACAGACCCAGGGCTGACCTGAATTCTGGAAGAAAAGGGAAGTAAAGCTATTTTATCGCGTCACTTTTAGACTCTTTGAACAGTGGGGACTTTTAACTCCACATTTATTACATTACACCATCATTAGCTATATTGAGTGCATAACCTTTGGCAGACTTTACAGCAGCATCCCCTGGTCTCGGTTCGCCGGGACTTCCCGTTTTGAGCACTGAAAGTCCGATGACCCGGGAAGTCCCAGGCGGGCGGGTGACACTTCCTTCGCCCGCCGCCGTCTGAAGCCCGGAGGTAGGACGCTGGTCGCAAGTCAAGCGCGGAGGCTGCAGAACCGTGAGGCGGAATCCAGCCTTTGACCTAGAAGAGTATTTACTTGGCCTGATACTGTCAGGTGGCTAAACACAGAGAAAGAAAACATGCTGTCACATGGGGCTCGCGAAAGGCCAGCAGCTTTGAAAACGCATAAAAACTAGCCCAGCCGGTGAGGCTCAGTGGCTGAGCATGGCCCTCAGGGTTCCATTCAGGGCAGGGCGCAGGCGGGTCTCATCCCCAGTGTGGGGGTGCAGGAGGCAGCCAGTCAGTGATTCTCATCATTGATGTTTCAGTCTCTCTCTCCCTCTCCCTTCCTCTCTGAAATCAATAAAAAAAGTAAAATCATACTATATATATATATATATATATATATATATAGAGAGAGAGAGAGTAAAATCATACTATATATAGAAAGAAAACACTACTATTTTAGATTACAATAGTGAGTTGGGAGTGAGTTTCGGATTCCACCTGCCGCTGATCAGATCCGGCACCATCATGACTCGCTGGGTGATCTTGGCAAAGTTGTTCAGTACCTCTGTGCCCACGTGTCCTCCGTCAGAAAGTGGGGATAGTGGTAGCACTACCTTAGTTTTGTTGGGAGGATTAAATCTAGTAAATGCCAGCTGTTGTCAAACCTGGATATTAGTGGATTTTGCTCACGGAGTGGTTTTCACCAGTTCTTGTTTTGTTTGCTTGATATACATGAAAAGAGAAGTTTGGGGTTGATGCCTGTGTTCTGGGAAATGTTAATAAAATGTTCATAGGAAGTAAAAATTAAATATTCAGTAAAACAAAGAGGAAAGTGTAAATGCAAAACTACTTGATTTAAGGGCAGGGTATTGAGTATGACTTCTTATGTTTGTTTAACAGTTTCAAATATGAAGTATATGTTGCTATCTAATAACCTCACCTGTATGTAAGAAAATTTATTAAGTGTAGACTTAAATTATGCTTTAGAAATTACCTTAGACGTAAAATAGGTTTTGCAGTGGGCAGGTGAGACATACATAATTAAACGTTTAAACCAGGTAACCACCTGTCAAACAGGTGAGTATACCTGAATCTGGGCAATGTTCCTGAGGGTTGTTACTGTTTTTGGCTAACATCTAGATTTCAATTAAAATAAGAATTTTTGTTGATGTGCTAGGATTGTAAAACAGTAGCTCTAGCTGGAACCTCAGGGATGTAGGATTCTTAGAGCACAGATATAGGTAGCTTCTTTCCCTTTCGTCTTTTCTCCCTGTGTCTAATATGGGAGGTGACCAGTAAATATTGAGCTGAATTCAGCTGTAGTCCTATTGCCATGGCCTTCTCAGGCCACTTTCTTTTCTTGTTGCATTATTGAAGTAACCTCCTAAAACTGACCTCACAGCCTTAATTTGGCCTCTCTCCCTTCTTCTAATTTATAAAATAAGGTTTATCTTACAGCAAAATCAGTCATATCAGTTCTGCTACTTAAAATCCTTTATGCTGACTCCTGGACTCTGCCCTCCCGGTGGTAGGACTCAGGGGGTTGGGCTGCCTCCCTCTCCTCTCACCACTCCTGCCTGGAAGCCTAAAGGCCGGT